CTCGAAACCACCCCCTTGTCTGAAATTTTTCTTCTGCGCATTCAAGGTTACTCTTGACCTTGTTCGAAGTTACGTGAGGCTTGTTTTACATTATGTTCATTTTCTTCATGCTTAGTTCTAAGTAACGAATGTCATTTGTTGATTTACGTTCAACCAGTGCAGATAGCTTTACACTGATAATCAATCATACAGTCAGCCTCAACAGGTGTATGTATGAAACGGTATTAAAGTGACGATAGTAGAGCTGTAGGAGTCTTAGAGATGTCACAGCGCAGATTTGGAGTGATTTATGTGGAAATTAGCCAGCGGATCCAGGTACCTTGATTACGATCTGAGCTCACGGAAACCAACATTTGTAGATCAAATTCCGGATCTAATATTCAGAACGGCTTACTGAGTTATTACTCTCCGAGTTATTAAAATGCTGATGTATTTCATCTATTTCAGTGCAGTTTAAAATATACACCATGGCTCAGCAGTCAAAGTAATAAGTAGCATTGTGTTTAACGGTAATGAAAACGGAGGTTGTGTATATGTATACTTCTTATGGGATTTGAAATCGTAACTAGAGTTTCCAGTCATGTCCTCCGCAGCACAGTTAGACTGTGAAAATTATTTGTTAGTATATAAAGTTTTTTTGTTTTTTTTTTTTTTTGCACAGGTTGGTCCGGAAAGCAACAGGGGTCATCTGGGTTCCTTCACACTCGTTTTACATGGGACCAAGGAACGGCCAGCATATCTGGACAACGGACCACGCCGATATAACCAAGACTACAATAGGGTGCATAAGAAAGTAGGTGACTACAAAGTTCTCGTTCTGTGAAATCTATTCTCGGAATTCGTAAACATTTTATCTGCATAGTGGAAAGAAAGTTGGAATAATGTTTATAAATACCTTTGATGAATGATAATGCCAAAAACCGTGCGGTTGAAAATATTTGGTCCCTAATGAAGAACCAATAAATAATATCAAGAATACTAAGGAAATAATTTTAATCTTTGGCTTACATTGAACTGAAAGCTAAGGTTACTGTGTGCTAGATTGTGTCATGGGGGGCTAATAATAAGTTCAAAATGTACGTCGCAACCAGAATACAAAATGCCAAATTTCATAGTTAAATAACACGTAAAATAACCCTTCAATAACAAATTCAGATAATGATGTTACATTCCACATATATCTCTGTCGTAAAAATAATTTCATTCCCTGTTTTATCCTGACAGGTTATTTTTCGAACAATTTTAAGTCAGAAAAGACGAATCGCCTCCGTCAATCTCATCAATTAAAATTAAGTACGTCATTACCTTAATTAATATAATTCAGTAACTCAGAGATTTAAAAACCTTTCTATGTAAATAAATGCTGAAACTCGGAACTCGTATCTTTATAAATACAAGAACTGCAATCAACTGAGACTATTTAATTTGTGGCATAATGAAGAGTTGTATCTTCTGGGGCGTAACGCCATGTAGTACGTTGATGTCATCCGTGTTTCGGAGAAATATATCGCCTCCATCTTCAAGGTTAAAAGTAAGCAAAGCGAGAAACCAGCACGAAGCAGGCGGCAACCAGAGCACTACTTGCTTGTCGTTTGATATACTCTTTAACCTTGAAAATTGAGGCGGCGATTTTCTCCGAAACGTCGGTTGACATTCGACGGACTACACGACGTTACATCGCAGAATACCTCAGATCCCATGTATGGGGTCACGGACAGCAGAGAACAATGAGAGAGACGTACGTATGCAAATGCAATGGGAATTCATATGTTAAAATCCTCTGCAGTCGCTTCAGCCAGCATTACGGAAAGGAAGGTTTGCGGGGGGCGCAGGTAGCTACCCTTGTAGATTGCAAAATTTCCATGGCGTAAATCGATCGACCCAAAGCATGTACCACATTCCAGGAACAAATTCTGCCAGGGGAAGAAGAATTTAATTAAAACATCCCTCATGGCATTTGGACACGAGTGCTTCCTGAGTTTACAATCTCACTATACAGCGAAACTACAAGAACTGTCATTCATATCCAAAGCAATCATTTCTAATTTGCATAAGTCATAGATTGTAACTGGTATTTTTCGTTTGTGATTCATAGATTATTCGGATTACAATCCATTAAACTAATTAACGAACAGGTTAGCCCAATTGATAACTCTTCCGAACTGCATTAAGGAGGTATATGATTGAAATGCAGCTGAGGCACCTGATATCTTTGTCAATTTATCTTAAGAGAGATAGAAATAAATTATTTCGTGTCAGAATATTTTATAGACTCTCAAGCGCCAAAGAAAGTGAGAAAGTTGGTCACGACGGCGGCCAGAGTTCGAGTCCTTGTAAGGTCATGTGAGATTTGTGGTGGACAAAGTGACATTGGGGCAGGTTATCTCCGAGTACTTCGGTCTCCTCTGCCAATTCTCATTCCACCGACTACTCCATATTCATCATCATCATAATCAATCATCCGGGACTGGTACAATAGGCCACTCAGTGACCGAGGTACCAAGTGGACTCAGTCTCATTCCACCCAAAGAAACTAAAAAATGGAAAAAAAAATAAGTTGGTCACGCGGTAAAACATCTGACTCGTATCTGTGTCCGGTTCAATTCTCAGGCAGATCACCGACTATTCTGATTGGTTTTCTTCGGTCCTTCGAACAAATTTCCGGAATAATGGGAAAACCACATATTAGGCCATAACACCTTCCTTTCAGATCCTTTTCAGTTCATTATTCACTGAACATTCAATGAGGGCCGCGCCATAGCTCAAGCGGTTAGTCGCTGGCTTCCCACCGCGGCGGCCCGGGTTCGATCCCGAGTCTGCTGAAGTAGGCTTTTGGTAGACAAAATGGCGCTGGGGCAGGTTTTCACCGAGTACTTCAGTTTCCCTTGCCAATCTCCATTCCACCAATTGCTCCACAATCACCCTCACCTATCATCTGGGGCTGGCACAATAGGCCAAGCGTGGCCGCAGTGCAAGGGACTTAGTCCCACCCCACTAGCAATAAAAAGAAAACATTCAATGATGTATAATCGGAGTTACAGTCAGTGTCGTAAATATAACTTCTAACTTCACGGAGCTCAGCCCTTTATGAGAAGCCGTCAATCTTGTAGGTACTCAAGAACTTCCCAACAATTTATGGAACCCGAAAATTCATTACCGTATTCACAACAACCCTCCACTTGTGTCTGTACACCATAGGATCTGTACTGTTGCTGCATGAAAATAAAGTGCATACTTGTTGGTCGCTTCTAGTACTAATTCTGACGGTAGGTATGTATAGTCTCTCTATCGTCAATCATAAATGCTTATTTAGAAGAACTTTCTTGAAACCTGTATTTTGCTTCTTTTTTTTTTTTTTATTACCGGATTGTGNTAAGAGAAATCGAGCCCCTACTAAATAAATAAATGAAAGCACTGTGGGAGAATATGTTAATTGTAGACCTACATCCTGTGTTTTTCTTCCGTTGTCACTGTCTCGCTTAATTTCTCTGTCACAGCGGACATCATCACTTACACAAATCACTTAATGTTTTATTGGATCTTCATGATACACGTCACAAGAACAAAATGTGGGAATTTAGGGTTATTCCACTAAGAGGTAATGAATATCCCAATATGTGCGTCACATATTGGGCGTTTTTGCAATAGAAGTGTTTCATTCATAAGTAATTTGAAGATTATTTTCTCTTATATTCTGAGTTATAGTGACAAATGGGACAGGAGATAAACACGATTGGTAGTTTCTCTACCTATCTATCTATCTATCTATCTACTTATCTGTCTATCTACTTATCTGTCTGTCTATCCATCTATCTACTTATCTGTCTACCTGTCTATCTATCTACTTATCTGTCTGACATTGTTCCTGTTGCATAGGGCATCCGTGAAACCGTTCGTTCCTTTTCAGTTTCTTAATTATAGATAGTAGGACTCCTCGGACGAGGATCAGCCCGTCGCGAGGCCGTTACCTGCACAGGACAATACAAACACAAAATAAACACAGAAATACATGCATGCCTTGATTGGGATTCGAACCCAAAATCCCAGTGTTCGAGCGAGTGAAGGCGTTTCATACCGTAAACCACGCAGCCACTGTGAGCGGCGGTGGGTAGGTTAAAATTTGGAAAATTCTCTACTACCTGTTTAAAAGTAAGGAGTTATTCTAGAAAGACTTAGAAAAGCCAGGAACACTTTCAGGATCGTCCATAAACCAACAGGGTTGAACTGGATATGGCTATAACGAAATGATAATTGTTCTTATCACTAATCTGACGTAGTCCCTGTGCTTACTTATTAAGCATCACGCCATGAAAATGCGTGGGGAAATAGAGTAAAGCCCCATGCATTCTCAGCCAATGTTAGATGGAGATGATTGTTCAACATCCTGCACCAGCCGCTTTACCCCAGGGAAAGTATCCATTGTATAGGAGGCTGTGGAACCCAGAGTCGAAGTAGACGCTATGGGAAAGGGAATACCTCGTTCCTGCCGGAAATCGTACACATATTTGCCGGCCGTCAGATCCGTAGCATAATGGCTGTACCAATTCATTAGTCTCGGCTTCTTGTTAAAGACAGCAACTAATTAAAACTCCGCTCTTGAACAAATTAAGTGCAGATTAAATTCTGTGATTGTTTGCTACCTCTCGGTTCATAATCTTCGTCTTCCAGTCTGCTAGATAAAAGCGTGAAGATTAAAATATTTCTGTATGACTATAATTTTACATGATGTTTCGTAGAGGGAAGAAACCCTATCTGTCTTATTAATAAAGAAAAACATGGGGGGTGTTAGAAAACAGGGTGTTGAGGAAAGGGTTTGGACTTAAGAGAGAAATGACAGGGAGCTGCAGAAAATTTGCATTATGAAACCATAATGTGTACTCCTTAATCGCCGGCAACGGTATCCGAGCGGTCTAAGGCATGTACTATCTTCGTTCCCTCGGAAACCGGGATCGTGGGTTCGAATCCCACTCAGGGCATGGATGTTTAGTTTGTGTGTGTGCGTTTTTCTGTGTTTGTGTACAGGTAGAGGCCTTGCGACGAGCTGATCACCCGCCCAAGGAGTCCTACCGTCTGTAAAAATGATCACTGAAACTGAGAAATCAGCCCTGTGCTCCAAAGCGGGAGCGAGAGGGAAAGAAACTCCTAAATCAGTATTCATCGGATGAAGAATTGAGGATGATGATGAAGGTATTATATGTGTCACGCATAAAAGAGACCAGATATACATAAAGAAAAATATTGTCTCTAAACCTTAAGGGAAAACTACTTACAAGTCCTGGAATAGGTTCCAGAATAATATCATAATGTACCTTAAGCAATGTGAGGAATTTAAACTGGTTTCATCTGGCTGGGGACAGAAACCAGTAGCGGACACTTGCAAACACAGTAATATATTCGCGATTATCGGATTTTTCGACTTCGTCCAATTTCCAGTATTCGCAACATTCGCTGGACCTGTTTACATTTTCATATAAAATGTTTTGAGACACCTACTTTTTCGGGTCCTTAAGAAAAGAGCTATAGTCACTGGACAATCGGTCCAGGAAGAGCTAACCTCAGTCACTCTACAATCGGTCCATTATCAATGAGTTAAGTTAGGCGTTGCAGTTCGAAACACGGTAGAATTAAGAATTTTCTCTTCTCCACTTCGTCCAGTCCTGCTCTGGGGTTCATCCAAACTCCTATCCACTGGATATCAGAGGCTATTCCCCGGGTCGTGAATCTGACCACCCACCTTCAGAAAGTGCCAAGGTGAAGAAAATATGGATCTCTACATCCACTCCCACATACGCC